AAACCTAGATAAAGTCCTCTGGTTGATCCTCAAGGTAATAAAAATTAATTGAATTCTTTGGACACGGATTGCGACGTAGTAATTGCGACGCACATTCTCCATTAATTGCTATGGGATCACGTGAGCAGTTTCCAATCCCTTTTAACTCTAATATCTATGATCACGTGGGCGTTGTTATTGAGCCCCACCCTTCTTTGCAAAACTTTAGCTCAATGGCTTCTCCTGGACCAGCAGGCAATACAAATCAACTGCAAAGTATGTTTAGTTAGTTATTTTCTTATGCTAAATACAATTATTTAATAGTTACTGATCTTGCTGAGCTACTTCAATTACTCAGTAGACATGGTTACTCAGGAGCCAGTTACTATAATCTTGGTCTGTTTCTTGGTCTATCCACTGCTACACTGGACGTTATTAAAGAGAATAATAAAGGAGATGTTGTGAGCTGTCTACGTGAATGTCTTACTAAATGGCTACAGAAAGCTGATGATGTGCAGAAGAAAGGTGGTCCTCCTATCTATTCATTGATATCAGCATTGAGAGTGTTAGGAGAGAATGCAGTAGCACATAGAATAGATATGGAAAGTGAGTTTAATAGCTAAAAGTATCAATTTTACTTATATTACCTTGTTTATTGTAGTGCATCCAGCATGTAAAATTCTTGCTCATTACACTTCAAGCCAAAGTCTTGTGATTGAGCTAGTGCTTTTGTATCATTCAGAAAATCTTATTAAAGAGATGATGCTTCCTACTAAAACATCAGGAGATGACCTGTTGATTCAAATAAAGAAATCTGTTTGTAATGATTATCGCAAACTGGAAGTATTTGCTGCAATTTTGTGTAAAGTATCAGCTGCTGCTGGAATAGGAAAATCAATTAAAAATGAATACAGTTTAGTATATTGTTAATGATAAACAAAATTAATTGTTGATTCTCTAATAGGAGAAGCTTTTTGCAGAAAAGATTTTTTGATTGCTAATGGTGAAAATGGTAAGATTATAAAAGTCTTGTGAATTAGATATAAACACTAATTTTGATAGCCGAAGAGTTCAAGATTTTCTTTCGTCAGAGCATGATTAAAGAGTTCAAGACAATGAGATTGAAATTTGGTGCAACATTCTCAAGTGTGAAAGATATCATGAAGGAAAAGCCACAAGCATTTGAAATGATCAGAGATCCTTAAATTTTTCTTATCCAGCCTTGAAACCTCAATTAGCTCAATGTCAAGATATTAAAAGCATCTTAGAATTAATCAGTGAAAATTGTTCACTAAATGATATTAGTATGCTGGAGTTCTTTGTAACTAGGTCTGAAATAGGCAAGCTCGCTAAAATTATTCAGGAATATAACGAATCTATTAAGAAGTTTAGTGAGACTAAGCTTACTGAATATTTAGAAGGAGAGCTTTCAAATGCTTCACCACTTCAATGCGAAAGGATTACCATTGTTGTTGATCAAAACACAGATGATTGCACATTGAATGATGTCAGGAGATTATCAGCTGATACGTTTCATGAGTTATCACAACATGTCAGATTAAATGTCATTAGAGATGACAATTCTTTCACTATCACTTGTTCCTTCCCTTTGAGTTCTATCTGAGCAGTTAATTACAGCTGCTCTTAATAATATTGATGTATTGAAAGAAAACAAAGTGAAGAGATTAACCATTGGATACTGCACTGTGTATGAGGTAAATAGACCATTTTATAAACTGATTTTATTATTAATAACAGGTAAAGGACACCTCCACTACTACTACAACAGAAATAGATGAGTACACCTCATCATTATCAACTAGTAGTGGTTTAATGAAACAATTGATGCTGTCATTGAGTGTACAACTGATTAATAGTAAAGAGGAGGTTAATACTTTGATAGATTTAATGATAATTATAATTAACAAAATATAGCATTGCATATAGTTTAGCTCTTATTTATGCAAAAAAACTAGCACAATTGCTAATGGAGTATATAAATAAATAAAATACTTAATAAAGTTATAAGTTACAATGAAGATACAGCTTTATACAGGAGAGAGGAAGAGAGTTTGATAGAAGAGTAGAGAGAGTTTCAGAGTTTTTATTGTAGAAGTTCTGTCTTGTATCACTTTGTTACTAATATAGTTTACTCATTTCATAAGAAATTATAACAATGAAGGAAGAAGAAAAATCATTGAAGGAAGCACTGGGTGCTAAAAACCAGATGCTGAGTGCCTATAGAGCAGAGAGTGAGAGGTTTGAAAGAATAGCAGGTATAAATATTTCCATTGTGATAGTTTATTATTATTATTAGCTGAGACAAAGCAATTACTGCAAGAGAAAATATCAGACTTAACAGAACGTGAAGAAGTAAAAATTTTACCTAGTATTTTATTGTTAATATGATAATAGGAGAATGAGAATTTGAAAGAAATAAAAGAATTATTAGAAGAACAGCTTGCTTTATTTCTATCAGAGAAAGATGGTATTCGTGTACATGTATATGTAAATATAAATAATACATTGAATTAACTAGATCTAGTTGAAAAGACGGTTGAAAAACATGAAGAAACACACATGCAGACAGTATCACATCAAGAAGAGAATGAAGGTATACACAATAAAAGTGATTAAGTGACTCAGTTATGAGTTAATAAAAATGCTTTAATGTAATAGCAATACAAATGTCATTGACTTTAAGAAAAGAATTGAATAAAAAAGATGAACAAACGGAGCAAAAACTAGGTCAGTTAAACAAGTTAAATAATAGTAATAATGCTTAAATTATTAAAGCTGAAAGCAAAGAAGAAATAGAAATGTTACAAATGAAAATTACAACAATGCATTTACAAAGAATGGAGATGGATAAAAAAGTGCAAGGTGAATATGAGCAAGTTTAGTTGTTGTATAAATAATTATTGGGTTAGAACTAATGTTGAAAATTAAAAACTTGAAGAAAGGTACATGTTTTGTATTTTAAATTTATAACAATTTTACAATACTTTATTTTAGCTTTGCCAAAAGACAAAAATTATCAAGTTGGCTTAAATGTAAATCCACTTGTTATAGCAACTAATTATAGGAAAATGATAAATTAAGCGAAATAAAAGAAATATTGGAAAAGCAGCTTGTTCTATTTCAATCTGAGAATGAAGGTAAGCTTAAGTAACTATTTATTATGTTTAAAATTAAAAAGATGGAAAGCAGATAGTTGCAGTCATAGAAAAATTGGCTGAGACAAATAAAGCAAAGGAAACTAATGAAGACACCAAACATGAACAAAGTGTGTACCATGATGCGTATAGTTATGCACTAATCATACATATTTGATAATTCTTGTTCATGTTTATTTTATAGCTACTGATGAAAATGAAAAATTAGAGCAGCTGATGTTGTCACAAAATGAACATCTAATTAAGAGAGAGCAAAAGTTAACTCATTTGATTGAGGTATAATAATAGAATTGTGTTATGTTTCTATTGTTCGTCAACATATAATAATAATTATTACAAATTTAATATAAAATTCTATTATTAATTATCTAATAGGAAATACAAAACCTCCAAGCACAGGTAGAGCAGCTAAGTAATGATGAAGGTA